TGACGATTATTTGTTTCAGATGTAGAGTTGATTGGTAACAAAATCATTGTTAATGGCTATATATATAATCGACAGAAGAAGGCGGCTCATGGTTGGAGGTGGATTTGCGTGAAGCGGCATGACAGTTGTAAGGGTGCGGCGATAATAGGGGACACAGTCAAAGAATCAATCCCGCACAACCACCCTCCTGATCCAGCTGATTGCGAGGTTGTGAGAATCCGATATGCGTTGAGACAAAGAGCCGCAACGTCAAAAGACGCAACTGGTGTGCTATTGAACGATTTGCTGTACAACGTTAGTGATGAAGCAAGAAGAGCAATCGGAAACATCTCCTCCTTGAAGCGTTTCGTTCGTCGATGCCGTACCTCATGCCTGCCAGCACCAGTCAAAAGGTGATCATATCCCATTCTTGTGAAATATTACTTATTTTTGAAATATTGTTATGATACTGTTACCTGATACCAGCGTATTGCATTACTAGTTTTCACTGATTGTGAGCGAGTTACAATAAAATGAAATACGGTGACCAAACCACTGGTAGTTTTAGTCAGCCAGAAACTGCAAAATAGTTTCAGTTTTATCGTGAACGTCAATTTTTAGTTCGTGTATTAAATGAAACCTGCAAATTTCGTTTTCAGAACTATTGTAAAGGAAGAAAGGCGAATCGGTACTAAATATATGAGGCGGAATGTCGCCGTTCAAGTGGATCTGACAGAAGAAGTGGACAAAGTTGATCGGGGGACGCAAACACGGCCACGTTATGATCTTATGCCCACCAAAGTTATATACAAATTCGTCACAGATGAAGAAGCTGATGTGGATGAAATCGGTGAATACTTTTCCTTATAAATTAGCGATATTTGAGCATATCGGCAGGATTTTTCGGGAGGAATTTCATTGCTGCACAGTCGAAATTGCATCATGAGAAACTGTGAAAGGAGAAAAATTAGGATTCAACTATAGAAGAAATCATGGCTGATGAAAATAACAGTCTTTGAAATTTGTATTAAACATGAAGTTGATTCAACGTTACCGAATCTGAGCCACGTGCAGGTTTAGTCGTTAGGATGATGAGCGTTATGATATCGAAACGAATTCAGTTTGAATGTCGTTTTGGGTTCCTGGCTGTTTTATTTTTCAATGCGTGGTGCCATCCGATGTTATCAGTTATAGTGAGTTAGTAGTTTTGTTTCTCTTGCGTTCATTTTATTATAATTATTTCTGGTTTCAGTTGTTACGTAGAAGTATTGGTTAAACGACGGTGTTGGCGTTGGGAGAAAGTCGAATGTGGAATACGTTTGAATTTCTTGCTATGAGCTTGGATTTGACCTGCATCGAATAAACTAGCAAATTACAAAAAGTGTTTGTATGCTGATTTAGCAGAAAGATAAATAGAAAGCTCTCGAAGTTCTATTTTTGAAACGAAACAATTCGTGTTCTCGGGAGGGAGTCCGTCGATATGGGAATGTAAATAAATTGGGCTAAATTATTGGGTTGTTAGCAGTGTGTTCGTGATTATTATGGGCACATCACGAGATATTGTCAGCACTAAGTATTATTGCAATTGTTATTATAATTATGGCACCTGTTATGTTATACATTCACGTTTTTTCTTATATTAATATTCGTCAAATTGTTATCAATGTGTTAATGAATCAGTCGTGAGAATATTTATATGTCGTTGTTAGGTTGATTGCTGCGTGAGTTAAACTTGTTTTTGCAGCATATTTACCATGGAAAATTCCGTGTTTTTTTTCATTTTCTTGCAATCCACGTTTCACCTTAATTTTAACAAATGTTGCGTTTATAACAATTTTATTCGTTATGTTTACTTTCGCTTCTGTCTTCGGTCTAAACCAGTGTTTAATTTTCATGGTTTTATTGCACTTTAGTGCACGCTACAGTAAGCATATTGGTAAACTTCTAGCATGTATTTTTGTCCATGTATACATAAGTTATAGTGTGATATAAAGTATCCCTCAAATAACTTTGAAATGAAGCCGTGCTTACGTAGATCTTTACGACCTTTTGCAAACGGATTCAGTTCCGATCAAAATTTTTGCGCTCGATTTTCAGTCGTCAACCAGTGTTGGGCAATAGCGCGCTATTCCGCTAGTCCGCTAATAGCG